GAAGGAAGGACCAGGAAGTATAATCAGTAAGAGGCAGGAAAGTACAAATACTGGACAAATACAGACTAAAATTCTGCATTTTCTACTATAATCAGATGGCATTGGTTAAAATAAGAATCTGTTCACTTATCCATTTTCTCAGAGTACATGATGAACTGGGAATAAAATTACAATCAGAAGATTTTGTGCTTATAAAAGGCTTGTTTCACAGTTGATTCATAAGCAAACAAACAAACAAAAAACTAGGTTGATTTCTTCCTTTCTGCCAAATGTGGACGCCATCTTCTCCACCTCATAGCATTCTCACTCTCCCCCTCTTTGCTTGCAGCTACTCTTTCAACTAAGTGCAGAGGATCACTAGCTCTTTCTGGCCCCATCCTCTCCAAATGACTGCCTGCTCTGTGCAGGTTCAGAGCCCAGGAGGAAATCGAGGACCCTGGTACCACCTGCCACTCCTTTCCTACCCCCTCTTGGGCCTTCTGGCCTGCTTTGTCCTCTCTCCCCAGACCCCCTTCTTAAGGAGGCCTCTGAGGCCTTATTGATGAGCAGGAGCCAACTCGGGAAAAAGCACACAGGGCTGTCACATGGGAGCATCAGCAGAGCCAGGAAACCCCACTAGAGTCCCAGAAGTCCCTGAAGTTCTGGTCTGGACCCAGGGCTCCTCTCCCCCTGTAAGCCATGCATCCTTGAGTCAAGTCCAACAGTCCTGAGGCTCCAGGGGCCCCCACAGACTGCAAAAGCAGATCCGTTTTTTGTTTTAATATATGTTATTGATTTTTTACAGAGAGGAAGGGAGAGGGATAGAGAGTTAGAAACATCGATCAGCTGCTTCCAGCACACTCCCTACTGGGGATGTGCCTGCAACCAAGGTACATGCCCTTGACCAGAATCGAACCTGGGACCCTTGAGTCCGCAGGCCGACGCTCTATCCACTGAGCCAAACCAGTTAGGGCCAGATCCGGTTTTTATGCAGACACTTGTAGCACCTCCATTCTGAGGCAGTCTCTCTCTCTTTTAACATCTTCATTGTTGAGAATGTTACAGATGTCTCCTCTCCCCAACCCCCTCATTGCTCTCCTCCACCCAATTCCTGCCTCAGGCCTTCATCACTCTTCTGTCTGTGCCCATAGATAATGCATATAAATTATTTAATCTTACCCACCTCTGCTTCTCCGTCCCTCTGAGATTCCTTAGTCTGTTCCATGTTTCCAGGCCTGTGGTTCTATTCTATTCATTAGTTCATTTTGCATATTAGATTCCTTGTTGGTTGTTTTTTTAGGTTCAATTGTTGATAGATATGTATTTATTGTCATTTTATACTTTTTTTTCCAGCCTAAAGATTATTGAAGTAAGTTTTCTGTATAGGGACAACTCTTAGAATACAACTGGGATTCATCTTGTTATAAGTAATGGTTTCCTTGAGCTGATATACAGTAATATTTATTTTAAAATTTTAAGTTCCAAACTTCCTAATTAATGTACAGACATGGAATTGCTATTAAAATTGTTACCATTTTATTTTCATTTCTATCTGAGGCATCATTAAATTATACCACTCTTGAGGTGCTTATTGTTCATATTTTTAATCTTTTTTCTTCTTATTCTTCCTCTTCTTCTTCGAAGACCCTTAAACATACTATGTAATTCTGATTTGGTGGCAATGAACTCCTTTAGCTTTTTCTTGTCTGTGACGCTGTTTATCTGACCTTCAATTTTAAATGATAGATTCGCTGGGTAGATTAATCTTGAGAGTAGGTCCTTGTTTTTCATCATTTTGAATATTTCTTGCCACTCCCTTCAGGCCTGCAATATTTTTTGTCCTGCAACTTTTCTGTTGAGAAATGAGCTGACAGCCCTATGGGCACTCCCTGACAGGTAACGACAGGTAGCTAATTGCTTTTCCCTTGTTGCTTTTAAGATTCTCTGTCGTATTTAACCTTCGGCAATGAGTGTAGTCTCCTGAGGAGCCTCGGGATTCCTTGGCACCACCAGTCCCTTCTACACCTGGAAAACTCCTGGAAAACCTCTCATTTTACTCCCTAAAGGCCCTTCTGGTCCCTGGGCCATGGCTGCTCCTGAAAATTTCCAGAGCTAGTGGAGCCTAAGGGCTTTCCTCAGCCCTCTTGAGAGCCTTTCTTTGGGCAATGGGAGCTGTTTCCTCTCACAAGTCCCAGGAACTAGTGTCTGAGGTGTTACTCCTATAAGAGTTGGGTTCTCTGTTCCTCTGGCCCCACCTGCAGGACAGCTTAGGGAAATGGAGATTTCTCTGGTTTGCTCCAAGGTCACCAGAGGGCCCTGCTCCCCATCTAGGCCTTGAACTGGATTTTTTGGAGCAAAGATTCCTCTAGTACAGTGATGGCGAACCTTTTGAGTTCGGTGTGTCAGCATTTTGAAAAACCCTAACTTAACTCTGGTGCCATGTCACATAGAAATTTTTTTGATATTTGCAACAATTGTAAAACAAAGACTTATATTTTTGATGTTTATTTTATATATTTAAATGCCATTTAACAAAGAAAAATCAACCAAAAAGATGCGTTCGCGGCGGTAGGTCAGGCAGTCATACTGCTGTCTGTCCCCCTGCGACAGCACCGCGAGGCGGTATGAAGTCAGGCAGTTATATGGCTGTCTGTCCTTCTCCACAGCCCCAGAACCTGTTCTCCCTAAGCCGCGTTGTTGAATCCGTTTGGTGGTCTTTCTTGATCCACTGAAGGCTGAATCTGCATGTGGCTGCCGTGGGAAAAGCTGTAGAAGTCGTCCATGTACTCCACCCTAGCTGATTTCCTCTCCGTCGGGCGAATTCTAAACGAGGGCTCGAATTGCATTGGGCCATCCTCATGGGTTTTAAGGGAAGGCCTGTACGTCCAACCAGTAATGCATAAGCCGTC